CCCCCCAACCCTCCCTCTGGACTCACCCATCTGTTTTGTAGCAAAAAATAAATTGAGCTACCAAAGAGAACAAAGACACACTAAGTGTGCCACAAGTTGTGTGTTCTCCGAAGATCAGATCTAGATTGCCCCAACTCTTTGCTCAGAATTTCTTATAAACAAACAATTTTTTTGGCTGGAAGATGTCAGTGCTGACTAATTGTACAGTTGGAGGATTGGTGTTTAGGCTCAATATCACTATCAGTTAAAAAAATACACAAAAAGAAATATCCATTCTACTTGGCGATTGTCAGGTTTCTATGTACTAACACACAGGTAGATCTGTTGTTGATGGTGGCATCAGTTGTCTAGTGGTTAGGCTACAGGACTCGTAATCATGAGATTGCGGCTTCGTTGTGTCCTTGAGAAAGGCACTTAATTTTACATGAATGTTCCCATCTGGATTGGTCTTTTCAGAGATGGACATTAAATTCGAAGGTCCCACCATTGGAATTATCTTACAATGTAGCTGGGGGCGTTTAGCTTATACAATTTTGCCTACAAATTTCTGCAGATTGCATCTTATTTATTTAATAATAAATTTAATAATAACAATAATGATATGTTAATAAAGAACTGAGAATGAAGAGTTGGAAAACTGAGTGCTTTTACAATAAAGTCACTGCTGTGATTCATCCTTCTGTTGTTCTTCTTTGTTGGAAAAACAAATGTCATTTCATTAGATCTGGTTGTAACATGTGGTAACCTCCCCTGCCGCTCTCACATTTCCATCTCCACTGACCAAACAGTTCTCTCAGATGGGGAAATGGTGGTCAATAGGCTGTGGGTTAGGGGTGGGGACAATGGAGGGGAATAGGGAGGAAGGGGAGAAGGAGGAAATTAAGGCGGAAAGTGGAGGGAAAACAGGGAGGGAAGGAGGGGAGGAAGGACTTTTAACATTGTCATGAATTTATGACATAACTGGTTATCTTCTATGTTCGAACTTTCTCTTTTTCCCATCTTTGTTTCCATGTTTTACAGTTTGCTGTATGTGCATGCTTGACTGTTTTCATGTTTTACAGTTTGCTGTATGTGCATGCTTGACTGTTTCCATGTTTTACAGTTTGCTGTATGTGCATGCTTGACTGTTTTCATGTTTTAGAGTTTGCTATGTTTTTTAAATTACACATTTTTTTCACAAAGCCCTTACCATTCCCTGAGGATATGTCTTGTCAAGTCAGGAATCAAACTCAAAACTTTTTGTTCTGTAAGCTCAACATCTTTATGACATCCTTCCCCCTCCCCCTCCCCCTACACCCGACACGACAATCGTACCAGCGTCAGTGGTGTAGTGGTTAGGCATTTTGCTGATGCACGTAGGAGACTCAAGTTCGATGCTCGAGTGGAGAGAACATTTGTATTGAGTTTCTCAGTCAGTCTACTGGGATGTTGTATCCCTCTCAGCCCGAGTTGACCCTGACAGGCAGGGTCGGAAGCCCCTCCCCTCTAAATGATCTAAATCGTGTTAAAAGGGGGGCATAAAAACACCTATATTTCAAATTTAAAAACAAAAAACCACAACCCGACAGTGGCAACAAGAGAGAACTCAGAGTGAGGTCAAAAGAATCGAAGAACGATTGCGGTACTGTGTACTCTGTGATGTTTATTTCTCTGAGACTTTCATGACCAGAACATTCAGTACCACAGTATGTAACACTCAGTTCCACCGCTACAGAAAGTTACACATCACTGCATCACACACCAACACACAGTCACACACTTCTACACATCAACACATAACACACAGTCACACTCTACCACACACAAACACACTCACAGGGTGCACACCCAACATTCACCAACACACACCTTTATAACATACAGTAACCATAACACACATTCATCCACACACACCTTTATAACATACAGTAACCATAACACACAACATCCACATCAACACACACCTTTATAACATAAACACATCTCACAATAAATAATTGTGCATCAAAGGCATTGTATTTGTCAAGAAAACATGCAGTAAATAAATAGGTCATCAATGAATAAATAATATTTCCTTGGCCAGCTGTAAAAATGTACTAAGCCCAAAACTTTGGAAAACAATTTTCAATGCAGTTTCTTCATCTGTAGTAGATTTCTAGCTCTACTGGTTGCATATGCTCAAGAAAAAATTTTGTCGAAATTCAAATTCTTCATACCGTATTCAAAAGGAGCAAGAAATAAAACATAATGAAGGTACCAATTGTAAAAAGAATGAAATAGTTTTTCTCTCTCCAGTAAAATTTTGCTTTCTGGGCATTTTAGTACATTTGAACAGTTTGCGGATAATATGAGTTGAAGAACAGGTGAGAAATGTAAAGTCACGGGGCTGGACACGGCTGTTTGGGCCTGTTGTCTCACAGGAAAGGCACGTCTAGTGTCTAGTCTAACTCTGGTGTCCCCTCACCAACACATAACACACACACTTGTAAAGCATGCTCGCACACAAAAGTACACACGACACACACATACACACATGCACGCTCGCATGCACACACACACACACGACACACACACGCAGGCATGCACACACACACCAAACATATACACACACAGACACACCCATTCCCACACAGGGAAGTGTGTTTGGGCATCCCTGTCTGTCAGCTGGGACCTTGTATCCCTCCTCTCAGCCCCAGATGGCCCTGCACTGACAGGCAGCATTAAAGCAGCCTGCTTCCTATATGATATAAATTGTGTCGATGGAGGTGGAAACATTAACAAACTGTTGAACTACATATAGAGACATTGTGTGCCTCAAGTTTATTCAGCATTCTGTGTTGAGAGGACTTTAATTCTCTTTTTTAGTTTGAGTAAGTTTTACAGCACTTGGAACACAAACAGGTTATAAAAGAGCGGAAGATTAGAAGTGTTAGTGTTACTAGAGAGTAACACACAAAGAAGAGAAAGAGGAGAGATAAGGATAGATGTTTGATAGGAAAGAAGGAGCAAACCACAGCAGAGCCCACAACATGGGTGGCTGGCAGCTGCTCTGCTCTGGTTTCTTCCTTCTTTCCTATCAAACATCTATTGTCCTTATCTCTCCTCCTTCTTTTCTTTGTGTGTTACGGTACTCTATTATATAACAGCTCTAATCTTCAGCAACTAGATCTATATGACTTTGACTTAGTTGTGTTGTAAGTGCCGTAAAATCTTACTACTAAAACTTAACAAAGAAGAATTAACAAGAAACTTGTACAAATCACACAACAACAAATCAGCCAGCAAGTCTTTCACCATCAGACAACACTAGGCCACACTCGGGGCTTCCTCAAACAAATACTTCAATAGACAAGTCACTGTCAGTACGCAGGGAACAAATCATTGTGTTCTCTTTTTCTTTGTTTGGGGAAAAAGACACATCCACATCCACTTGCCAGATATCAGCC